CCCCTCTTAGTGCACTGCTGACCCATGCCAGTGTGACCCGTCTTAGCGCACTGCTAACCCATGCCAGTGTGACCCGTCTGACCTGGGGGATGGTGTTCGGCACCTCAGTGAGGTTCTGGTGGCGGCAGGTCACATGCCGCCTGGAGTTGTCACAGACACAAGTCTGTGGGCATCGCTGGGCGGTTACGTGCCAAGCTGGGCCCAGTAGCAACACCAAAAGCAGCAGCATGAAGACAGGGGTGGAGCTCTGGGGCCTGGGAGGAGAGGGAGAGTTGATGTTCATGGGGCCTCAATCCTGGTGGTCACCAAAACCAATCCAGGACAACTAAGACCCCTGCAGGCCTTCATTCTCTGGGCCCAGAAAAGTGCCATGGCTTGGCCCCCTTCCCTCACCTCCCACGGGAGCAGCTTCTGTTATCAGCTTTGGTTTACTGAGGAGGAACTAAGATGCAGAAAATCAACCTGACTCTGCACTTAATTTGGGAGGTGCAGATGTTGAAGGGCCTGAGGTCCCTGAGTGAGTCTGTCTTCTGCTCAGAGACACGCTATCATGGTGAGCAGGCAGCTCAGGCCTCTTCTGTCCTCTTGTTACCTGAGGACCACACAGCTCACTGGCCTGATACAGGGGAATGGAGGACCTGGGGTTTGGACTGCACCAGGCAAGATGTATCTCCCTTGTCCACCCGCCCACCTTTCCACCCCTCCACCTCACAACTACAGTCACTGCCCATCCCGTTTCGCGGATGGTTGTTGCCACCGTGGCTTTCCTGTCCTCCCCTGGGCTCCCTCCTAGCAGCCAAAGGGAAATTTCCAGTATACAGACAGGCTCCTGATACCCCCAACAGAAATCGCCCAGCATCTGCCTGTCACTTGCAGCAGAAAGCCCCAATTCCTGGTGCCTCAGGGAGGTTGTAAACGTTCTCCATCGCACGCCACAAGTGGTCTTGGCACCACTGCACAGGTCCAGCACCATCTAATTCTCTCAGCTTCTACTCTCAATATACTTGGGCCATGTGTGAATGCCGAGCTGCCTTTCCTGATGCTGGGCTGAAACCTCATCCCATGGGCCTCCCCATAACTACTCCCAGGATTGTTACTGTCTGCCATTGTCTCCTTAGTCCCAGAATTCACTCCCCTTCTCGGCTCTAGTGGCTTTCTCTAGACTCTGGCTTGAGAGATAGGGTAGGAAGGGGGCCCGTTAGGCTGATTTCCTGAAGAGACAAAGGTCCAGGACATAGATGGCTGCCATGGCTTTCTCTTTACCTGGCCCCAAAAGACTAACCCACAGGAGTGCACCAGAACAGCTACATCCCCCTTTCTTCTTTAGGGACCACCTCTGGGAAACCTCAGGTACAGGGAAGATCCTGTGGCCTACACTCAGCTCATCTAAGGCCCAAAAAAAGAATACAGGATCATCTATAGCCACCTAGGTCATCTATGACTCCCTTGCGCCCTCAGGGCCCCAAAACTCACCCCTCCATGCCGACTGGAACTGCCAGCCCTGTCTGGAGGCCCTGCACAAGGGAAAGACCAGGGACAGTCCCCGACTGGATGCCGGCACTACCCCCCCTCCCTTGCCCATAGGCTTGGCAGCAGGGACAGAGCTGAATGGGAAGCATTGTCGGCAGCCTGGCTGAGCTGGGGCTTCCCCAGGCTGTGGGCAGGGGGTGGGAGCTCGGCTGGAGTTACAGGCTGCCTGTCCAGCACAAACCTAACATGGTCCAGGCCCAAGTCCTTGAACTGGTGGGGGTGGGTGGGAGGTCTGGAGGAGCCTGCGGATGGGTCAGCATCCCTGGGCTCCTGCAGACTCTGTGGGAGCCTAGGAAGAGCTCAATAGCTGGAAGTTAGAACTAACTTACCAGGTTGCTGCAGGGGTTAAGGTAGGAACCTAGACCCCGGGGCAGGTGCTCAGGAACCCTTAACTCCTTCCTGTCCGCTCCTGCTCATGCACTCGTACACACTGAAGCTGCACACTTTCCTTTCTGCTTCCACAGCAGGTTACTGAGGATTATCCAAATGGATGGGATGTGTAGAGTCTGTCTGTAGTTTTAAACCGTTATAAGGTATTGTATTCTATAAACAGACCTGGGTATTGTATTCTATAAACAGACCTAAGATCTAACCAGTCAGTAGTGCTGCCTATAATCCCAGCACTCAGGAGGCTGAACCAGAAGGATCATAATTTCAGGCCAGCGTAAACTACCTAGCAAGACTGCCCCACTCCCAAAGGACCAGACTTACTGGTTCATTTGAGATAGTTTAAGGTTTGGTTTTCTTTACTTTTTATATTTGTGCTTTGCCTGTCTGTGTGCATTGCACAGTATGCATGCCTGGCACCCACCGAAGGCAGAAGAGGGTACCAGACTCCCTGAATGTGGAGTTACAGAAATTTGTCAACCTCCACATGCTGGGAACTGAACCCAGGTCCTCTACAAGAGCAGCCCATGCTCTCAGCCCATGCGCCACCTGTCCAGCCCTGTCTTAGATATTTTTATCATTCCCTGCCTTTCTGTAAAATGTAGTTTAACAGCAGATGTAGGAATTCAAGTCCAGCCTCAGCTACACAGCAAATTAAGAGGCCAATCTGAAATAACTGAAACCCTTGAAAATAAAAGGTAAGGTGGTACGCGCCTTTAATCCCAGCAATGGGGAGGCAGAGGCAGGCGGATCTCTGAGTTTGAGGTCAGCCTGGCCTACAAAGCAAGTTTCAGGACAGCTAGGGCTACACAGAGAAATCCTGTCTCGAAAAGCCAAAAACCAAAAATACCTGCACCAACAGTGCATCTGGATCATATCACTCATGTACCCTAGGATCTTTAAGACCCACGTTTCTATTGGCATTTTAGCTTTTGTTTTTCAGTGTGCTTGGCTTTTTGAGACAGTATTACGTAACCCTCCCTGGCTGGGTCCACACTTGCTGTGCACCTAGGACTACTCTTGATCTCCAAGGTGCTGGGTGAAGAGGTGTGTGCCACCATTGAGTTCAGCTAACTTACGTATAGCTGTTTTTGTTTTTGTTTTTGGCTAATTTACACATAGTTGTTGGCTTTTTGCTTTTGTCTGTGCCCAAGACAGGGTCTGTCTGGAACTCACTGTGCAGACCAGGTTGGTCTGGAACTTGCACACACGCAAACAAGAGTTTTAGACATTTTATCCAGTTGCCTTTATTTCTTGTTTAACTGTTCTGGCTGGGACTTGTAGCATCACCATGTTGAATGTAAATAGACTTTATTTTGTAATAATTTGCCTCCACCACCACCCCACCCCAACAGATTTTCACTCAACCCTTCATGCAGCCTGTGTTGTTCAGGAGCCCATGGAGGTCAGAAGAGTATGTGGAATCCCCAGAAGAGGGCACCAGACCTCATTACAGATGGTTGTGAGCCACCATATGGTTGCTGGGAATTGAACTCAGGACCTTTGGAAGAGCACGCAAAGCTCTCAACCACTGAGCCATCTCTCCAGGCCTTTTCTTTTGTTTTTTTTTTTTTTTTTTTTTTTTTGAGACAAGGTTTCTCTGCATAGCTTTGGAGCCTATCCTGGCACTCGCTTTGTAGACCTGGCTGGCCTTGAACGCAAAGAGATCTACCCACCTCTGCCTCACAAGTGCTGGCTGCCGGGTCCCCCTTGTTCTTAATGTGCAACTATTTATCTTAAATCCCTCAGAGGCCAGAGGATCTAGTGATCCTCTGAGCTGGAGTTACAGGCAGTTGTGTGCCACCCAGTATGGGTGCTGAGAACTGAACTCAGGGCCTCTTGTAAGAGCAGTATACAGTATACACACTTAACCACTGAACCATCTTTCAGCTCATTTTGTTTTAAGACAAAAGTTTCAAACGTAGTCCTGGCTGGCCTTGAATTCAAGTGATTTTTCTTTGCCTTCTACATGTTTTTTGAGATAAAAATCTCACTATGCAGTTTGGTGCCAAATTTTCAGGTTTATGTGCTTTATTATGTGTATGAATGTTTTGCCTACATGTCTATCTGCACCATGTGTATGTCTGGTCTCTGAGGGGGCAGAAGAGGGCATCAGATTTCCTAGAGCAGGAGTTATAGATGGTTGTGAAATGGCCACGTAGGTGCAAAGAAGTGAACCAAGTCCTTTGCAAGAATGGCAAGTGCTCTTGACCACTGAGCCAACTCTCTAGCCTTGGCTTCATATTTTCAATCCTCCTGCCTCAGCTTCCTAAATGTTAGGATACTTTGACAAACCTTACATTGGTTATGGCTGTATGATCTTCCCTATCTCAGGTTGTTTAAGATAGGGTCTTATGTAGCCCAGGCTTGCCTTGCACAGTATGCAACCGAGAGAAGCCTTTAATTTATTATCTTCCTGCCTCCTCCTGGGTGTTAAAATGCTAGGATTACAAGCATGCGGCAATATAATAGTTTGTGCCATCATTTTGTTTGTTTGTTTGAACAGGGTTTCTCTGTCTAGCTCTGTCTTTTGGGGAACCTGCTGACCCTCAACTCAGAAATCTACCTGCTTCTGTGTCCTGATCTCTGGAATTAAAGGCATTCTCTGCCAACCCCTGGAGACAGAGTTTCTCTGCAACTTTGGAACTTGTCCTGGAACTAGCTCTTTAGACTAGGCTGACCTCGAACTCCGAGATCCCTCTGCTTCCTGAGTGCTGGAGTTAAAGGCGTGCGCCAATGCCAGGCTTTCACTTTTAAAACTTTTAATGTAGGGGCTGGAGAGATGGCTCAGCGCTTAAGAGCATTGCCTGCTTTTCCAAGGGTCCTGAGTTCAATTCCCAGCAACCACGTGATGGCTCACAACCATCTGTAATGAGGTCTGGTGCCCTCTTCAGGCCTGCAGGCATACACACAGATAGAAAATTGCATACATAATAAATAAATAAACTTTTAATGTATTGTGTATGAGCATAGGAACATGTACACCACAGCATATATGTGGGGATTGGAAGACAAATTGCAGGAATAGGTTTTCTCCTCCCACAACATGGGCCTAAATTCAGGAGTCAGGCGTGGAGGTAAATGTCTTTATCTATTGAGCCACCTCACC